TCATGCCTTTCAATCCTTCAGGATATTTCAGGCACAGCTTAAATCTTTCTGAGGTCTTTCCAAAGGGTTTTATAGTCATAGTGTTGGCTTCATCTTTAGATCATGTGTTCTCAGTAGCACCCTGGATTTGATCTAATCCCAGAAGCCATTTATTTTAGCATTATTTGACCTTTAGGAAAGCTACAAATGAGAAGCAGGTATTCGAACCCAGTAAACCCAGAAGTGCTTCCAGCAAGTCTTTCTTTAGCTCGTCTTTCAGCAATTTTTCTTTCAGCTGCTATGTTGCAAGAGTTGTCTCTTTTCCCAGGTATCAGTATCATTTTTTTTTACTCTCCTCAAAGTCCGTCCTTTCAGCTTCTTTTAAGGACCATCACTCTTCCACTAACAGTCCCTTTGGAGTCTTGTGGCTTGCTTTCTTTTTTATGTCATTTCTTCTATTTACATCTAATCCAGAGACCTTCCACATGTTCTAGTTTTGTTTCAAATGACTTAGTGAAAGGACAAACTGAGGCAGTTGAACCCACACAGACCAAACCAGACACATTGACATGAGTAAAGCAGGTTTATTAGAGGCTTATGTGGATGGTTGTGTCATGGACCAGGGGCAGGAAACTATAGGAGTTTCCAGAGAGGGTGATCCTGGCCTGGAACAGCCAGATTTTAGGTGAACATCATTGTTTTCTTTGAGGTGTAGCTCCGCTTAGGTCAGAGGGAAGTGAGCTGAGACCAGCATGGGTCAAAGGGAAGTGAACAGAGACTAGAGTACAATACAGGGAGGGGTTGGGGCTGTGATTGGGACAGGGTGCCTAGGAAACCAAGAGGAAGAGTGCTTGGGGCATAGTGGCCAGGAAACCTGAGTTCTGATCCATCATTTCATATCAGTGTCTTCATAGTTATTGTGTTGGTTCCAGGGGTATTGTTATTTTCGTATTTTTGTTTGTTTGAAACTGGTCTTGCCATGTAGTTCAGGCTGGCCTTGAGCTCACTTTTTAGCCCAGGCTTATCTCAGATTCACAGCGATCCTCCTGCCTGAACTCCCCAAGTTCTGGGATTACAAGTATGTGTCACCATTTCCAGATGTATATGTGTAGTTATTAATTTACAACATAACACCTCAAACTTCATTGTCACAAAGCAAGATTTATTTTGTTCATAATCTGCAGTTCTGTCAGGGTCAGTGAGGTCAGTTTATCCTTCACCACTTGACCTCAGCTGGAGTGACTTAAAGCCAGGGACTAGATCCATCTAAAGGATATATATACACATATCTGGTAGTCAGAGCAGGCTTTATCTGGGCCTTCAGCCCGGCAGCCAGTGGACCACATACCTGAGGATTCACTTGTGGCTCAAGCTTTCTTGCTGTATGGAGCCTGGTTCCCTAGGGAAACTCAGGTGAAAGATACCAAATCTTCCTCATCTGAGAAGTCACACAACAGTTCGACTATATCCTTTTCATTAGAAACCAGTTACAAAGGTAAGCTTCCTGTTCAGGGGAGGGCATTCTCCAGGAGAAATGTCAAAAAGTGTGTAGAAATGCTTTTAAACTGCTATTCTAGTGATCTGATCTAAAGATGACGGTACTTCTCAATGCCACTGACATCTCACAACATTTTTGTTGTTATTGTTGTTTAGTATGCTTTCTTCATGGAAGGGATGAGAAAATTATAAGACAGCACCTTTGAATTAAGTTATTTTTGTTCCAAAAAATACATAGATCATGTGACTAAGCTTTTATACTGGGGAATGTTACTGATCCTAACAGAGACTCATTACCCCACAGAACATTAACTTGAAACTTTTGCAATTCAGGAAAAAGCTTGTAACTAAAATACATATGTACCAGAGTTGTGACATACTTATTTTCACAGACTTACACTGGTGGCCTTTTATTGGTTCAAACCTAAATGGCTTAGAATGATGTCCCTAAATTTTTTTTAGAAATTATGGCATGGAGATGGAGTAGGGCTAAGAGAGGTGTACTACGAAGAGCTGACTCAGTTATTTTAAGAGCAGAAATGACACAATCCTAGAAAAAGTCCAGAATCACATGCACACGTTTTGTGACAAAGATAATGAGTGTGAAGAATCTACTTTGTGACTCCTGATGCCTTTAAACCATGTTGATTTTCTGAGTAAGTCAAGAATCTAGTGTGGACTATATTTTATTACAAGTGAATTTATGTGAGAAATTTTTATTTGCTTTGTCCTAGACTATTTTCAGCCCATTTTCTTCATTCTCTATCTGTGTTATTTTATTCATGCAGTTTGATGATCTTGCAGCAAAACTGGAAACTACATCTTCCACATGTCTTCAGCAGGATACAGATAATCAGTTTCTCTATCAGAACTTATTATCTCTGCAATTTATACAAAAGAAATGCGAAATACTAGAAGAGAGTAAAATGCAGTTGGAACAAGAAGTAGAAAACCTCAAAAGTTACATAGAAAAAAATGTGGTAGAACATCGCCAAGTGGAGCAGCATAAACAGGAGATTGAAGAAAGAGCAAGACAAGAGTTGGAAAAATTAAAACAAGTCAATTTATTTTTACAGGTTAATTTATTTCTCTTTAAAATGCTTAAATTATTTTATTAAATTATATTTTGGATGTTTCCATTATATATGTTTCTCCTGCTTCCTTTATAATTTTTGTCAAGTTCCTTTCTAGAAGGAAGATGACATTTTGTGTCCTAAATATTTGTTTTACTATAACTAAATTTATCTCTCAAAATAATATTTATTTGACAATCTTTAGTTTTTTTTAAAAGATGAATGGGCATAAATTGTTAAGAGCCAAAGAAACTTCTGTTGTAGCAGTTATAGAATAGCCTGGCAGTATTGTTCCCTTGTTGAGTTTTTAATTTTTTGAATTATTTTCTTTGAATGATCAGATTACATGAGTAATAAGAATGATTTAGGGCTAAAGATGGAACTCAGTGGGTGGGGTGCTTGCCTAGCACTGAGTTGGATCCCTAGTACCACCAATAAAGACACAGATTCAAAATTTTTATATTTCAGATTTAATGCAGTTGATACTTTTTAAAAAGCATGCTCTGTTATCTTTAAACAGTGACCTCTGTAACATGTCGTTAGAGACCAATTCACCCACTGCTTTGTTTGGCTGCCAGCCTGTTATCTCTCTCTTTAGCAATGGTGAAGCAGATTCCTTTTCCTTGTGGAAGAGAAATCTGTGGCTTGCGGCTTTTGCTGATGATGAAGATGTTTTAGAGCTGAGTGGCAAAGCTGTTGCTGTTGGCATCTTTCACAGGAACCACATCAAAAGAGCCAGGGTTCTCTCTGTTGGTGATCACTCCAATTCTTCCCAAGTTAGCCTCTTGGGTCACCATAGACAGGTTACCTGTGTCAAACTTGATGAAATTGGTGGTTTTGACAGATGCCAAATCAATCTGGATGGTGTCACTGAACTTGATGAAGGGGTCAGGGTAGTGAATGGTGGGAGCATCATGGGTCACCAGATGAGGGATCCTTTTTGTGCCCACAGAGATCTTCCTTTCTTTGCACAGCTTGTACTTGGCTTCCTCAGGTATAATTTGGTGAATAGAAAAGTGACCCCTTGGTGTCATAGATCAGATGGAAATGCTCTCCTGTCTTGTCAATGCTGATGACATCCATAAAACCAGTAGGATAGGTTTTATCAGTTTGGATTTTGCCGTTGATCTTTTTTAAAATTAATTTTATTGTGAAACAAATAGCAATGAGACAGTTTCAAACCGATTAGTAGGACAGTTTCAATAATTAATACATTGCATATTGTTGTCTTCTTAGTGGTTATTCGTAGTATAGGATGCAGACATGATATCCTGTCCAAACACTATTAGTACAAATCTTTCTTCTCATTGAATTAAGGGAAAGTAGCTCTATATCTATCCTATTTTGTATATATAGATACAAAATGGTCCTTCATTTGTATCCCCCCCCCCTTTTTTAGTTTTTTCAGAGATGGGTATTACATTGTCATTTAAATATTGTAGGTGCGTGAATTCAGCAAAATATTTGGCCATTAATCTTAATGAAATGTTGCATGCAAATTTTCTTCATCTCCTGTCAGAGTGTACTTGAGTGTGTTCCTTAGGAAGATGATGAGAGACAGACATTCTCTTAGCTTATGGGGACCAGTGGATGGACTAGGAGCAAACACAGCAGTCAGTTTACCCAGTATCCAGTGCTTTGGAGCTGCTACTCACTTCAGATGCTTCTTGGGACTACAGTTCATGGCTGAGCTATCCAGCTTCACCATCTTTACTCCCAGCCACCTGGCTTTTTGTGTGGCACCCTGGCTCCTCCACTTCACGTGTGGCCCAGTTGATATTGATGATAAATCCCAGTGTGTTTTTGCCATACAAAAAAATTCCTCTCTCAATCACTGGCTCAAAATTAAAGGAAATAGATACAAAGGAACTATGAATGATGATCAAAAGATACAGTGAATGTTTTACATTTTTTTAGTCCCCCTCAAAATACTCGCTTGGGCTGTGCTTGTCCCATTGTTCTTGCCACTTCCAGAAGTGCTTGAGAAAGTGGCAGGTGGACTCAATTCATGAGTACCCTCAGTTGTGCTGTCACAGCTGTTTTGATATCCTGAATTGAGTCCAAATGTTTGCATTTCATGGTCACTTTGACTCTGGGAAAGAGCCAGAAGTCACATGGGGCCAGATCTGGTGGACAAGGTAGATGAGCACTCACCATCATGTTTTTATGAGCCTACCTTTCCATTGCGTGGCACTCAGCAACAGCAGCATTTACTGCTTTTAATCAGATCTTGTAAAGATGGTCATGAAGGAGGACTTCCAGAAGTGCTTCAGAAAATGGCAAGAATAAAGGGATAGGTGTATTCTAAAGTAGGGGAAGTATTATGAAGGGAACTAATGACATTGTAATTTTGTACTGTAAAAATTTTTTTGAATATAACATTCACTGCCTATTTGCTTTTTGTTTATGGGTCATAATTATTTTCAAAATATATCCTTTAATTTTCTTTAGACACAAGTAGCATCTCTAGAACAGTTAGAACAGTTAAGAAAGAAGGAAAATGCTTCAGTGAAAAAGCAGATGGAACTCCGAATTAAAGACCTGGAATTGGAGCTCTCTAAAACAAAATCTCAAGAAGATTCTGCTAAAATAGAGCTGGAAAAATACAGGCAACTCTATGTAGAAGAGTTCAAAGCTACAGAATCATTGTTCTGTAAACTAAACAGGTAAGTCAAAACAGAATCAGAGAAAATAAGCTAAGCTCATTAATTTTTCCCAAAAGCGTCATTTTTAAAGACAGGTTCATGAAATTAGTAGGATATGAATGCTTAGTGGGTACTTTGGAAAATAAGTTATTAAATGGACTTATCTTTAAAATGTTAGTCTAGGACAGTTTCTATTTTTCTTCCTTTTATTGGATTTTAGTTTTTTGAGAAAAAGTCTTTCTTTATAGTAGTACAGGCTTCCCTTGAACTCACTATATAGCCCATATTGGTCTCGAACTCATGGGAATTCTGCTTCAGTCTCTCAAGTGCTGGGATTAAAAATGCTTACCACTATGACTAGCTTGGTTTTAGTATTCTTATGTAGACAGTTTTACTTGGTCTTTCAGATATTTTTAATATATTTTTAAAGTTATTTATTTAGTAAAGGGTCTGTTTACCCAGTTTAAACTTGTAGTGATCCTCCTGCTCAGCCTTTGCAGCACTGGGATTACAGGCATGCACCACCATGCCCAGGTTTGATGGCTGGCTTGATGTGCCTATGGTTCCAGGGCCAGCAAGGCATGCAGTACCAGGGATCAAACCCGGGTCCTTGTGCTTGCCAGGCAGGTGCTTAGACCACCAAACTATCTCCCCAGCCCCTTTTCAGATATTTTTGAAGTTCTATCATTTAGAAAGTTATACTGTTGTTTCATTACATATTGCTTTTCACTTAAATAGATTTATTAGCCTTATTTTTTTGAAGATTACAATATAAATCCAAAAGGTCAACTACTAATACAAGACACATTCTGCCACTTGGTAAAATAGCTGTCCTTTACTATGATCTTTGTTATCACTAGAAGCTGCCTAAAAACCAATTGTCCCATATGTTTTTTTCTCTTCTCCATAAAGTCATACTTGTGATATAGGGATAGCAGAAGTACAGTGCACTCATGTGAAAATCAGTGTGAGGGGTGGGTGGAAAACAGAAGAGGCGGGTCATTTGCAGTGCCTTCAGAACAGTATTCCCAGCCCAGGAGCTGCCCTGGTTTGTTGTGATTATGAAGCCAGTGGCCTCCTTTTCTGGAGATGGTTGTTCTAAATTAGTTTCTTAGTGCCAAGTAATGGGCAGATATACCCCTGGGAAAGCTAGGACTGGAAAATATCTTTGAGAAATGTTTTTTAAATTCCTAAACTATTTAGCTAAATATAAGCATTTATAACTTTTGTTTCAGTTTTATTTTTTTAATTGTAAGTAAGGAGTACAACATAATGTTTTCATATGTCTGTCTGTATGTCATACAGACATACACACATACATATGTATTCTTTTCAGTAATGGGGATTGAACCCAGCCCCCTCTCCCCTGTTCTGAGACAGAGTCTCACTGAGTCAAACAGGCTTGGCTTCAACTTGTGATCCTCCTGTCTCAATTTCCTAGAGTGATGGGATTATAGGTGTATATATTTATACAGAGTAAAATGGCTACTTTCAGGTTAATTAGCCTGCTCATTATCTTCTAGAAATACCCTTTAAATTCAAGTGTTTAGTGGCTTCCTCAGAAATTTTGTAAGTAGTCTTCCAAGAAGTAGCAGTGTTTCTAATTTGAGCCAGAAAACATTTACAACCATCTCTCTCTTTCCTGCTTTGTTAGAATTACTTCTTAGTTAGGAATCCCCCTATAAATATATGTGCTTCCTTTCCTTTAGCTGTTCTTTGAAAGGCGTGCAGATACATTTTCACTGTTAAGTCACTGAACACCAAATGGAAATTCCATACATTCTTATGGCAGTTTTGAAAAATCCAAGTCTTTTAGAGTAATTTAGGGTCCTGCTTAACAGCATATGCCTGTAATCCCAGCACTTGAGGCTGAAGCAGAAAGATCACTGTGAGTTCAAGGCCAGCCTGGGCTATATAGAAAGCTCTATCTCAAACTCCTCCCCCCCAAAAAAGGAGTCAGAGAAAAATGAGATACTAAGTTTTTGCCTTTTGCATTCTTCACAGGGCTATTGAGTTTCTGGAAGAGGCCAACACCAAATTTCTGGAGGAAAAGCAGCAATACAGATCTTTGTTGAGCAATGTTAATACAAGACCTGTCCTAGAGTGTCCTTCTGTCAGAAATTTTGATCATAATTTGGGGCTACCCAGAAGTTTTCATACTAGAGAAAATTTAGTGGTTCCTAGATTCAACCCACAGCCTTCAAACAACAGCATGGAGAACTACCTCACCAAGGTTAGTAATAGTATAATCTTTCCATTGTATCTGACATTTCTGATTTTTTTTTTTTTTTGTACTGGGAATTGAACTCAGGACCTTGTTGTTATGGTTTGTGTCTCGTTGTCCCCCCAGAGCCTCATGTAGTCATGGGGTGAGGACTTCTAGAGTTTGTGTCAACTCATGATCCACTGGGATTATGTGTGATCCAAGGCTGGGATTATGGGTTTTAGTACTGCTGGGATTACCCATAGGTGGGTAAGTACTGGGAAGTACCCATAGGTGTGAGTACTTCCCCTACCCTGGGGCAGGTAATTTGCATTACAATGTAAGGTGGGAAGAGAAGCTAGCTGCTTGAGCTGCTGCTACCCCTCCCTTGCACTCTTGCTCTTTGCCACCGCCATGAAAGTTGCTTTCTGCTCTGTGCTGCTCTGCATTGGACCCAGCTGAGTATGGACTGAAACCTCCAGTAACTGTGAGCTAAATAAACCTTTCCTTCCTTCATTTTGAGTGTCGGGTATTTGTCCCAGTAACTAAGACACTTGTGCTTGCCAGGCAGGTACTTATGTCACTGAGCTATATCCTGGGCCCCTGATTAAATTCTTTTCATTAATCTGGTGAATTACTGCACAGGGGAAATAGCTCCTGGGCTATTTCAGTAGAGCAGTGCACTAGCATGCATAAGACCCTGAGATTGATCATGGGAGAGGGGTTAATCTGATGAAATACAATGTTTAGTTGACTTATACATGTGAAGTAAAGATCTCAATATTATATGCTAATATGAAGAAAGGAAGCAGAAATGTACAATTTTTAAAAAAGTTCCTGTAGCATCCATTTTCAAGAGATATTTGTTAACTTTAGTCAATAAATGTAACTGAAATAGATGTATATTTTTAACTTGTTTCCAGAGTTGTGATAACTGTATGAGTTTATTGATATGTAGATATATGTAATACAGTGTCTAGATTTAGTGTATCTCATGTCAAAAATGGCTGTTAGGGCTGAGTTTTCATCTTTCTTTTTGGGACTGCAGTGATTTAGCAGAAAATGATTATCAGCATAGGTAAGAGAGATGGAAGTCGATGTCACAGCTTTGTTGCTGGCACATAACTCATGGGTGGGATACAAGCGTCCACATGCTTCACTGAAGATTGCCTAGTTAAGCACATGCTTAGTGGATGAAACGAGCACCTGATATCTGTTCCAGCAGCAGCTGCTCACTGCAGAGATATCAGAAGGATCTCTTGCTGCCAGGACATCACTGTAAGAGTCAGGGTGCCTCGATCCCCTTCACCCTTTGGGAGCCCTCTCTTCCTGGAGAGAGGTGGAGAGAGAGTGAGTCCATGTGGTTCTTCTACTGTCCCTTCTTCTAGGACTTAAACTAAGATTTAAATTAATCTCATCTTTGTATGTCTCAAGTTGTGATCAGATATGGCTAGATGTATGCTAGATGGTAAAGAGAAATCTGTTTTGAATTTTTAATTTTGCTGTAAATAACCCATAATGTGCAGAATTTATATTTTGAATGATTTGAGTAAACCAAATTTTGTGATTTTTCTCCTTCAAATTCCATTCTATGATAGTTAAAAAAATTCTACTTTAAAATTGGGGATATTAGGGGCCTGGCCCTAGCTCAGTCCTTTAAGTGGCTGCTTCCACAAAGCTGTCAGCCTCAGGTTGCTGGAGTTCGAACCTCACAACTCTCCCGCTGGCCAAAAGTGCCCTGAAGGCATTCGAGGAACCAAAAAAAAAAAAAAAATAAAATTGGGGATATTTGTTGGTGATATAGCCCATGTTTAACATGAATCTCAGTTCTTGAATTCAAACTCCAATCCCCCCTACCCCCCCAAAAAAAGCCTGCTGTGGCTTATATCTAGGTGTCTCCCCAAGCTTCATGTACTCATAGGTGGGTCTTTCTGGATGTGGCTGGATCTAGAGCATGTATGTATGGATTGAAAGTTTGTAATTAATCCATACAGAAACCCCCAAGGAGAGTATCTGTCTAACCTCCTCTAGGAACATGGCACATAGATGCAAAATAAAGACAGTTTTACACTTAAAGTGCTGTGGGGTAACCAGTGTTTTCTGTGGAGCAAAAGTCCTCAAGTCTAAAAGCTCATAGTTTTTATTGGTTTCAGTGAGGGAGGTGGGTGGAGGTTGCAATAGAGTGCTAGGGAATAGAAACTTTGCAGACATTGGTTTCAAGGAGAAACAACAACTTGTACTAGGCTTAGAGGCCTCCACTTGGCAGTGCGAGAGACAGTTTGATTTGGGCAAGGCTGGTACATTTATTGCCAGGAGGTGTAGTTCTTCCTTTGTTCTGTAACCTCACCTGAGATGTTATCTCATGTATTAGCCCTACAATCTCAAGGGCTCTTGCTTGAGCTCCCTATTCCAGCCATCAGCAAGGGGGCACTGCTCACACCTGTGCTGCAGTGAGACATGTTGATGTACTGGCCAGACTAGATCACATTCTTTTGGCTAATTAAGGGAACATCTGCTTCCATCTAACTGCTTCTATATAGCCATTTCTGTGTAGTTCAGTGAATAGTGTTGAAGTAATATTCATAGAAAGATGGAAGAATGGAGCTTCATTTCTTAGGAGAGTGCAGCCTGATGGTCTCCCACAAGATCACTGATTTATTTAGCATAGTTCTTGGTGTGGCTGATGGGAAAGCCCACCCTGTGTGGCAGTTGTACCAACCAAATAGCTTGTAACCTGGATGAACTATGAAGGGAAAGGTGAAGGCAAGCTGAAAGCCTTCTGCTTAATGCACCATGCACTGTTTCTTCACTGTGATATCTGGGAGTCTGCCTTTTTTTTTTTTAACATTCTGGTGTGCATTTTATTTCTTGACACACACATAAATGGATCAAAAATTCGTTTACTTAGAAAAGTTGATTCCAACAAAAAATGCACAACAGGTTTCAAATAGCTTAGATTTCCTGATATATACCTTCTAATCCAAAATTAGAAGTAACACAATGTCCACTTATATGCTCACATTTGTGACTCAAGCTATTGGGCTGGAAAAAGAAACTCCTAACAATCCCAAGTAAATATGGGAAGCCATTGTAGAGAAATCTAGTATTTCTCAAAAATGGTTTTAACTGGGAAGCTTCTAATCCTGTCAGGATAGTGCTTTATTTTATTTTAAATCAGTTTGTGAGTATGAGTCCAAATTTCAAAAAGCACCTTCAAAAACAGAGCCACTCAGGTATACAAGTATGCCAGTCAGTCCAGTCAGCTGCAGAGAGGAGCCATGTACATAATAAAGAAAATCAAGGACCAGATGCTGAGACTTTGGGCTGAAAACTCTACAAACTCTGAGCTACAGTAAACCTTTCAACTTTGGGTGTTGGATATTTTGTCTCAGTAGTGGGAAAAAAGTAAGATGAAGGAAAAATGTTCTTCACAATGGTAAACAATCTTTTGAGGACAATATTTCACTTTTATCCAAGCTGAATTTATGTATGAAGTTTTCGTGGGTGAGGCCAGGGAGATAGCTCAGCGGCATAAGTGACTACATGGGAAGCGCAAGGTCTTAAGTTCAATCCCTGGTTCAAAAACAAAGCAAAACAAAACAAATCCAGTTTCTGTGGGTGGGTTATAACAGATGTAAAATCTATTATCTAGGGGCAGTAAGTAGGAGATGAACTTTTGTAGGAAAAGATAATTACATTGGTAGTTCCTTAATTCGTCTTATAAAATGTGATTTCATTTTACATAGTGTTAATGGTAATATAAGATTATTTTAAGCTGGCTGTGGTGGTATATACCTGTAATTCCAGCACTCAAGTGGCTGAGGCAGGAGGATCACCATGAGTTTGAGATCAGCCTGGGCTACATAGTGAGTTCAAGAACAGCCTGAACTACCATAGTAAGACCCTGACAAAGAAGAAAAAGAAGTATTGGGAAATCTGTCAAAGAACTTGTCCTTATACCTACAATTCTTTATTCTTGTATTTAGCTTACTTTTAAAGACCACAATGAAGGACTACTTACTTAGCATGAAGTCCTTTTTTTTTTTTTTTTTGGTGGAACCGGGGATTGAACTCAGGCCCTTGCACTTACTAGTGAAACACTTATTCCACTGAGCCATCTCCCTGGCCCCTACAATTCTTGATAGTATTGATTTTGTGAGTTTTTTTTGTACTGGGAATCAAATTTAGGACCTTGTGCTTGCTAGGCATGTGTTGTGCTGCTGAGCTATATACCCAGCACTTCTTAAAGGCATTGGATATGTGTTACCATTGTTACCACAAAATACTATGTTGTGTGTTATAGGTTACATCCTGATTGGAGCATTAGTCAGAAAAAAGCTTTTATACAAAAGATTTAAGAAACAATATGTTACAATATGCAGTGGATTAATTATTGGAACTATCTTACTAATTGGTTTTGAAACTGTCTCATTGCTATTTTTTTCTCAATAAAATTAATAATAAAAAAAGAAAATAAGAAAGAACACGTTAGCTAAAGAAAAAACGAAATAGATTGGAGTATTCCCACACATTCCATAAGAAGAAAAATATGATTAGACAGGTTTCAAAAATGTTGACCCCTACTTCTAAGATGATAGCAAAATTACTGTAAGATCTGTATATTGTTTTTCTTGCTTCCATTTCTAAAGAGTAATGAACCAAAAGAAAGCTTAACAACTAGCTCTAATCTATGTTTATCCTTTTTTAAAAGTAATTTTATTGAAAAACAAATATCAATGACACAGTTTCACAACCAATTACTGGCACATGTTCAATAATTAATACATTGCATATTGTTGTCTTAGTGGTTATTCATTGTGCAAGATGCAGACATGATATCTTGTCTAAAACACTATTGAAACAAATCTCTCTATTCATTAAATTAAGAGAATGGAGCTGTATATCTATTGCAACTATTTTGAGTATACAGATAAAAAGGGTCATTCATTGCTATCCCACTTTTTGGTTAGTTTTGTCAGAGATGGCATTCCATTGATGTTTAAATATTGTAGATGCCTGAATTCAGCAGA